AATGCCCAATTCTTGGGATCGACGCGTTGTTGATTGTTTCGGATCGTCTCGCACATTCTCCTTCACAACAGCAATATTTTCCGGTGTGCGAACGCTCCTTGGCCGGCCAGAGCCTGGCAGATTTGCCACAGAACCTGTTGCCTCGAATTTACGCACCAGACGACCGATGGTTGTTCCGTTTGGGCGGTTGTTGCGACCGAAATGTTCACGAAGCGCGCGAAACGTGTTTTTTATTTTTGCACCATTTTTGTAGTGCTCTTGAATAACTTTAATGCGGTCTTCAATCGAATACGACTCCATAGCGATCAATGGTAAACATTCAACTAACAAAATGACATGTCGGTGACAGAAAACAAAGATGGCGTCTATGTCAAATTGACGTTTACTTTCCTGCGTCCCTATTGGACAACCCAAAGAGACGGAAAAAACTGAATCTTCCCAAGATTGTTTTAGATTTTTCCTAACTTTGCACATTAACATTACCACCTCTTCACAGACTCAACTTTATTTCTTCTTAAAGACGACATATTGGATTTTAGCATAGGTATATAGAGTTTTTTTATTTTTATTCCAAAAATGTATACTATGTTACATATTGACATTGCCAAACCTTCCGCAGGTATATGTCAGACGTACATTTTTCGAATTACAATTAAATAATCTATTAATCTGTGATAAATCCGACCTTGCGACTTTAAGAAAAAATAATCTGGATGATGGAGAACAAGAAACGAGGTGTCTCATCGCAATTCTAATTATGTTGCCTTGCAGAGGAGAACAAGTAGAGGAGAAGGTGTAAATATGGAATAGCATTTTTTTCGCTCCTATTTTAAGAAATATGATCAGAATTATGCCAAATTTGGGGAACAGGTACTCAAAGGATGAAGACGTATGAATATAAACTCAAAAGTGTAATTCTCTCAATAAAAATTTACAAAAAAATAGTTTGAAAAAAATTTAAAATCACCACCTGAGAAAAGGTGGTGCAAATATGGAATACCTTAACTAAGCTAGAAAATAATACACATTTTTACAGTTTACTTGCAATCGCAAATAAATTCATCTTTTGACCAGCAGAAAACGCAGCCTGGCAAAACATGCATGAAGCATCATCCTCATTAGGTTTTGTATGTCCAGGCATACTCTCTAAATCACTGTCAGAGTCATCTTCGGAACTTTTGGATTCATCAGAAGAAACTGCGTTCTTTGGACGTTTTAATGTGGTCTGGATTTTAGGTTTTACTATTTTTGGTTTTGGATTTTGAGGATTTCTTTTTGGTTTTAAAGATTTTCCCGAGGACAAGTTTCTTTTAATGCCACAAACTTTTGCCTCTTTTTCAGTTTTCTTATTTATTGACTCATTTAGTTCATCTTTGTATGGTGACGAGGTAACCACAGTCGAACCCGTTACCTTACGTCCTCTGTTAATTTTTTTGCGGATTGTGTTTGGAACTGGAGATATGTCAAACAGTCAAACGAATTCCTTTGTTATAGTGTCGTCAGCTTTTGAGTCAGAGCTTTGCTCTTTTTCTTGGTCAATTGTCTGAATTCTGCATAAGGTTTTAGAACATGAAGGTTGATCGATATCGATAGGCTCGACCCAATCTCTAGAGCAGGATGGTTCGTTAACGTCAACAGGAGCAGTGGTTTTAAGGTTTTCATTGCCAACGGCTGCTTCTTGCAGCAATATAGTAAGCCTTATTAAAAACGTTTCTGTTAAAAGGGCAAATTCCAGTGGCGCGAAAACCATTTGCCGCTATTGCGTAAGTCTGAACTTTTCAATAAGCTCTACCAAATAACTCCATAATGTCAAAAGGGCTCAGAGCCCGTTGGTTGTGGCGGATCCAAATACGAATCTCTTCACTGTAATAGACTTTCAATGGGCCGATAGATGACTTATCCAACGGTTGGAGTTTGTGTAGAGTGAGGAGGTAGACACAAAATAGTGACAAAATTTTCTCTTGCAAGATCAATAATTTCAATATGGCGCGTGTGACTGTAATGACCGTCAAGAACTAGCAGGACAGGGTTCTCTTTAGTTGGTTTAACGTATTAGATAAAGTGACGGAACCACTGTGTAAAAATATGGGATTGTGCCCAATCGGATGGATGTGAAACTCCTATGGACCCAAGAGGAGCTCTTTTCATTAGCTGCATGTTCATATTTTTTCTAGGAAAAAAAACTAAGGGAGGGACGAAGTTTCCACCAGTACTTATACAAAAAATGACTGTAGGGACCCGTTGGCTTCCTTATTGACAATTCTGGATGCCGCTTCCAGGACAAATCAATCCACGCTCTGCCTGGAGAAGATTGATGTTTAATTATTGGGATATAAGGTCATAACATTTGGACTCCATAGCTAAGATATAATCCACTAGTTCCTTCTCTAGCTTTGAACCCAGAATACATCTTCTTCCTAGCTTTGTTACTGCAGCATTGTCTGGAGTAACTGTGTCATCTCTACTAAGTCGAAAGAGCGTTGTTCGTGGAACATGAAAGGATCTGGATATCCCATTCTTTTTTATCTAAATGCCTTGATAGCTCTAGCCATGTCTTGTTCATTGTATTGCTTCCGTCTTTTAGGACCGGAAGGTCGACGATCTGTACGTCGTGGCATCCTAAAAAAAATAATAAATTTGAAAATATATTATAAATGGTGCAAATTTGGAATACCAGTATTCCATATTACCGGCATTTGGTTTTTTAAAAACCTTGGTATTCCATATTTAGAGTACATTCCATATTTACACCTTCTCCTCTAGCAATTAATGTGCAATTTAATTTGGAATCTCACGCTAAAGAAAAAAGTATGAAAAATACTGTTTATTTTCCGAAAACACTTGCGAAACTCTGCAAGTTTCATTGTTAGCTACCTACATGCGCAACTCTACCCCAATTTAACCAACTTTGTACCTTCTCCGTTTCTGCGATTCCAATGGTGGCGGCCGGTATACACAACAAAAATATTTGCGTAATTTATTTTATAGAAGTATTTTGTATTATGTAATGAAAGTAGAAACCAAGGTAAAAGCATAACATTTTATAAGTATGTAACCTTTTAATGTTCAACTGAGTTATGTCATTTTTTAGACAGTTATCTGTTTATTACAAAGAATACCAAGAAAATATACGAGATCTGTCAACGAACAAAACCCACGTGTCGGAACTGAATTAGTCCAATTTCCCACCGCCTCATGTTTATCACCCTGTACAAAAATAAACACGGCTTCCCTGCAACCTGCTCAAATAACAAGGCTGTTGAAGACACCTCGTCCGATAGATATAAATCAGATTCTTGTAAAAACAACATGCATCCGAGGCGGTGCCTTGCCGCACCGTTTGGCATGCATCTCGGAGATCTCCAGGGAACGCCACATCTGTTGCTGCCGCATACGTAAATGATTGCTTGTCAATTATGCGTGACTTCCAGTGGTCGCCCCTTTTAATACCCTATAATCTGCCCACTTTGCATTCTACTTGTGTGGCATACGGCTGTCAGGTGATTTGTAGAAGTAGAAAACACAGTACTGTACCTTGAGGGGGAGCGACAGTACCATTGCTCCCTACGGCTTCAGGCTTGCAAGAAAAAAATGAGGAAACGGGAAAGAAGGAGATACTACGTTGGAAAACTTAAAATAAATGTCCATTCTGTTCTTACACTGCTGTTTATTATTTCCATTCTTAATTACTTTATAGCAGACGACTTCACACCCCGATAGCATTAAATATTTAAAAAAAATGTTTTCTAAATATTTGTAGCGACAGGTTCTTTAATATTTAATAAATATATTTCTTATCTATTCATGAAATATTCATTATAGAGGAAATATTTCTGAATATCAATTTTATATTTTGATGAAATATCTAATATGGATTTTCAAGCATTAATCTGATATATATTTTCAGTGTAGGTATATAGAAAATTCTTCATTGGTTTTATTTTAGCAAAATTTGTAGGAATGCTTTTATAAAATTGGATTTATAAAGAAAATTCATTCTAGATATAATGGTTTAATTTGCTAGAAAAATATCATTAACAAACATTCTAGGGGCCAATCTTACCATCGTTAGTCAGCTTGGACCAACAGGAAAAGACCTTATTGAACTGCAATTTGACGGAAGCTGTTAAAGCTCTCTGAATATCAGTGTGATTTCTATTCAGATACTGAATAACGTCGTGAAAATTCGACTTTATTATAATTTGCCACCAATGCGGAATTTCAAAACTTGCAATCGCATTCCATAATTGTTTCAAATGTTTTCAAAAGAAAAACCACCCTATGTCTACATTGCTTTCGAGAAAATCGCAATCATTTTGAGCAGTTCCTTTAGTGTAAAAGTTTATTAAGGGGTTAATATCGAGGTTAATTTTATCTGAATATTAAGATGAAATATTACAAGTTTTGTTTAGTTTTATTATCCGTTAGTCTATAAAATTGTTCATAGCTTACTTAGATTTAGCCTTTTCAGAATGTACGTGTCTGTAATGTGCTATAACAAATAATATGTATATAACAAAGTCAAGGGCTACTAATACTATGTTAATACACACTATGATAATACGTAGGTATATAGACATTCTGTAAAATTATTAATTTTCGATTTATTATTTAAAATTCATATCACGTATATTATACGAGTATTCCTGTAAAGCTTACAAAATTTTCAATAAAACGAAAAAAATATACATATGTCACATTAAAAAAACTAAGTTTAATTTATAGCTAAAAATTGACAGCTCGCAGCAAAAATTTTACTACGCCACTGTATTCTACGTATATGGGCCAATTTTTAGCTCTGCGATATGTTAAGGGATAACGGAGATATGAGGGGGGTCCCAAAAAGCAATATTTTCAATTTCGCCCTGTATCACTGAAACGAAGGAGGCTATGAAAATTTCATTTCTATCATCTGTCTTTTCACCCTGTACACCTAGGTACAATACAGTCGATGGTCTGATCCTGTTGCATCTGGATTATAATGAAATGTTATGTTTCAGGTACTAGTCCCACGAAAAGTACCAAGCCAAGGAAGGAGAGAACGACGTACACAGATAAACAAATTTTCGGACTATGGGCAGAATTCCAACGTTCGAAGTATTTGACGAGACTTAGAAGATACGAGATTTCAGTAGAATTAGGTTTAACAGAAAGTCAGGTAAACCTTGCACGTTTGTAAATCTGAAAAATGTAGGGAAAGTAACATCTAACGATGAGGTAGTAAAAAATGAGTCAAATCATAACTAACCAGAATGCTCAACTTATTTGCAATTATTGTTTTATCCGAGAATTTTTCTATTGTTTAAAAATCAGTAATTTTTTAAGATTATGTTTGACGGGTGAAATAGTTGGCTCATTTGAAGGTAACTACTGTTTTTAAAAGCATAAAATATAGTAATAATACTTGCTTTTATTTAAATAAGTGTGCTCGTTCACTACCTAAAGTCTATTATAAAAGTATGACTTTTGCATACTTTATGTTGCATAGTTGAAAAAAAGCCACCTTAAGACTTTCTTGAATGAGGTGTTTTCATAATTCAATTTAGACTGGTCATTTGATCATAGTTAATGATTTATAGAGTTGCGTAGTATGCCTAATTGTACATCCCAAAAAAGTGATTGCCAGTGGTAATGAAGTAAATAAGTTTCGTTCAAACGACATTTTATATCAACGTAGTCGAGCTAACCTTACCGATATGAATAAAAAACCATTTCACAAGCTAAATGTATACGCTTAGGTTGTTAGCTTAGTCATTGTAAGCTAAAATATTTAATGTGTCCTCTGATAATGGCATACAATCAGCATCGTCAAGTATCAACACATCGTCCATACTGTTTTACGTTGTTGGCGCCGCTCCCAAATCCGGCCCTGTCAGTACCTGAGCTTCCGGCCCCCACGGGGAACGACCAGCCAGGCCTACCTGACGCTGTGCATTATCAGCTGGGCTGGATGAATTCTGGTTTTTTCGCACATATTCCCATCTCTCTCTACGTCGCCTCGACACGCTCGGTGATCGACTACGACTGATGCTACTCCGCGAACGGGACCTTGAACGTCTACGGCTCAGCCGAGAACGAGAATGCCTAAAATAATGGGGCGAATCGGCACGAGACCTCGAACTGCTGCGTCTACCCTCAAGTTCCTGGTGTGAAATTTCCCTGATAAGACTCCTCATGGAACTGGGAGAATTAACCTCCAAATCCCCGTCCCTGCCGCCAGGTTTTTCTTCCATGGTTTTCTGCTAAGTATATATTATATATAACGTGCTACTAGATGAGCAACAAAACAACCCATTGTTGTACATACTTACCAACCTACTCACCAAGCACTAAACCGATTTGAAAAGGAATCGCGTATTTTACGTGTTTCCTAACGCACAAACACGCCGCGCGACCGTACGGCTGTAACACCAAAAACCGAATGACTCAACGTGCAAGACCGGGGCGCGACGGGACGGGAGCGGGGATCTCTTGTCTTTTAACTTGGTGTGCGGCTAGTACTCCAGGGCCGGACTACATAGTAAATAAACAAAGTGATGTCTTCGGACTGGACCTAATGTATAATTGTGCTGTAAACGTAAGTGTTGCCAAAGAGCGAATACTAAGGCCCATATCGTCAGCCGTCCCTACCATTGTAGGGCGCTTTTATGGCCTCCTTGATTGGCATCCTCTTTTCTCTCTTGCAAAAATTTCTAGATTACACTTGTCGCGTGTCAGCGTCAGCGCTCTCCTATTGTGAAGATATGTTCTCTTTTTAAATTGTAGGAAATTTCAGGCTGATAAAACATGATATAACCCAAAAACAAGCACAATTTGATGCAAATAGATGTTTGTGACATAACCTCAAAATAGAGTTCTGACACGGAGAAGCACGAAAACTATGACAATCAAGGAGGCCATAAAGGCGCCCTACAACTGTAGGGACGACTGACGATACGGGCCTTAAGGATACAAAAAAATCGCAATGCTCAGGTCCTACAGCTATAACTTATAGTTAGTATACCATGATGTATCAGAAAGTAACACAGTGGCCAATGGTGTTAGATTACAAACGCAAGTGTCAGACGTCAAGGGGGGGGGGGGCGCTCAATAGCCTGGGCAGTAACTACCGGTAGGGCAGGGAAGAATGTCTATGTGGGCCTGTTTGTCTGACTTGATCGGTTTAATTTCTCTATTGTACATGTTCGTAACTAATATTTTTCTCAGAGGGTACTTCACCCGATTTTTTTATTTCAGGTGAAAATATGGTTTCAAAACAAAAGAATGCAGACAAAACGAGTCACAGAAATGGATTGCGACAAACGCAATTTAAAGCAAGCCTCGCCGGAAGATAAAGGGGATTAATTTTAATAAAATACATGTAATTTCTATAGATTATTTTTTTATTTTTTTTCAGTAAATAGTGCTAGGCTGGAATGTAATTGGAATATGTTAAGACAACTTACCTACTCATGGATAGTGTATAATTATTAAATGAATTACATTATTAGCGTTCTTGTTTGCTCATTAGATTGTCCGATTGAAAAGTTACTGCATCCCAGTGAACATGATGACGCCGTCATCATTTGGTCACTTTTGGTCAGAAACGTCATTGACTGAAAAATGACGTCTCTAATGACGCCATTTTTATGACGACAACAAGACGTCCTTCAAAAGCTGTTAGTCTTTTTTAGGACAGTCGCAACTGAAAAATAAACTCTACAAAGAAAATATGGACTTTTAAAGAACATTAAGTTAAACCTGATATTCAAATGCTAGTAACAACTTTATTGTTATTTATAAATAAGGAACAGGAATTCGACCAATAATATCTTGTTAATATGACTTCTTTAATAATAATTTCAATTTGCCTGTTTACATCATCTTTTATTCTCGTAAATATCAAATTTATTGGATACTCCTCTGTATAACAATAAACACGTTTTGCTAGAATATTTGTAATCAAACGCGGCAAAAAATCAAATTTGGAATGGTATAAGTATAATTCAGCCGATCATCAGCGTAGAAGCACGATTGTGCATGCGTGTTCGTCGTTTGGCAATGCTTCGGCCATTTTGTTTTATATATCCATGGATTTGACCGACATCATGATTGCTTCGTCGTATTTAACACATAGTCACTAAGGCTTGGGTAACACCCAGGCCTCCTTTGAAAATTGAAAATTTTGATAACCTGCTACAAATAAATTGTGAACCACCGCAAGACCGGAACGTGTTTGAGATCAAACGGTGTTTTTTAGTTCTTTATTAACCACTTTGATCCAAATGCTCCTGAAAAATTGCGGAGGTGATAACGACGATTCGGAACGGGAGGGTTCAATAGTGGTAGGTAAGTAGAATATGAGTTTCGGCACCTTTCTACCACTCCTGAACTCTCTGCTTTGGGGGGCGTCATTGTCACGTCCTAAATTTTTCAGGGGCATTGGGCTACACCGCGCGACTTTAAGTCACATAGACGTCATATTGACGTCATATCCACGTCATATCGACTTTGTATTTGGTCTTTTATTCGACATACTAGAACGTCAATTGGGTGTGACATTAAACCGTCATAATGATGTCATTTCTAAGAAATTGTTGTTGGTCGGCATACGTCAGCGGTGCCCAGAAATGCCGACATTATCACGTCGTTATGTTCATTGGAGTTTTTAAATACAAACTTTTGATGTTAAGGATATATTAAAAAGTCAAGTATGTTCGAAATGTCGTACTCGGAATATAGAGGTTGGATAATTTGTATCATTTGACATATTTTATGAAATAATCCGTGGTTTCATATTTGAATTTAATGGTTGTTAGAAGTAAGACTATAGTTGTAGTCACCGTTCTTGGCGGGTCAAAGTAAGACTAACAGTATCCTTTTATATATCTCCATCTCCCTCATCCATACACATGCAACCTACCCCTGTGTGAGAACGCTTGTTCGGTAATCTGAAAGATATACGTTTTTTAGTTCTGTGTCTTCGTCTCGGAAATTTTGTCGTTACGTATGAGTGCCCTTCAATCATATTTGTTAGAGTGATAACTTACTTGACATTGGCGTGCAATTTGAGTTGTCCTATTATCAATCTTCAATATAAAATTGTACAATGCCCGGAAATACGATCAATGGAGAAGGCCGACAGCCCGTACTAAATTTATTAGACTATTTCCAGGAAGAGAATGAAAACAGCGGTCCCATGTTACCCACTTCATGCGTACTGGAGAGAGTAGCAGATGCGCTGCGAATTAGATTGCGCAGGGTTCCGCCCATGGTACGGAGGCTCGATCTGTTTACTTATTTCATATGGCGTTGATGACGCCAAGAACGGTGACTACAACTGTATTTTATGTTATTTTATCAAAATGGACAAAAGCTTGTAAATCCTGAGAGTTTAGAATAATAAGCCATTCATAAATGTCGCTAACGGTACAATTTACCTAACCAGCTTATGATTTTCGTTGTTAACGATTTTTTTAGCCCACGTATACGAGATCGTGAATCACGAACACATATCCTACAACATACAAATTATCTTAAGATTAAGACATGATAACTAAATTATTTAATTATTTAAGAATATGCTTTTCGTGTTTTTTTTCATAGCAAAATCTTGGACCCAAGCATGCGCCAGATGTCATACCTAGTGAGACATGTATATACCTAAGAATACGTATCTCCTCAATGCGTATCTTCTAATGTATTTTAAACACAGTCCAATGCTACATTTTGGTATAAAAACTTCAAAACAAAATAGTTGAAATTACCTAAATTTTGGATAGAAATATTTACCTCTGGTAAAGCACCTTAATATTTTCTTTCAGATCAATTTTGAGCTATTCATCAGAAATTACAAAGTTTTCTATTCAGGGTGTTTCAAATTCGACTATCACCATTGGGATATCGGAAACGGTGAGAGATACTGAAGTTGGTTAAGCGAGATCGGCGAAATAGATCGAATTTTCCCAAAATAGTCGTTTTTTCCTGGATTTACTTGAGAAGGGATTTCAAAATTAAAAGTACAATAACTTTGCCACTTTTTTTCCTCTACAGTATGAAATAGTTAATATTTTTCAATTAATTAAGCGCAATCTAATGCTAAAACTTTTTCATATTATTTAAGGGTAGTATTGAGAAAATTGAAAACATCATTTCTGCGAAAGTGAATGAAAATCTCAAGGATGTTGCAGCTTCCTAAGCAAGTTTAATAACCGCCAGATCTAAGCCGATGGACGCATCTTACATTCAAATTACATTCAGTTGAGGTGCCATATAGAGTGCGTCCATCCTGCTGAAATAAAGCTTATTATAGTCAATAAATGGACAAATTTTATCTGAATCTCCTTTAACATGCTCCACAAAAACTGAAGGTTGGTGATCCAAT